CATTTACTGGGAAAAATTTTAAACATGGTGGGTATATATTAATGTTTAATATAAGCGCTAATTATTTAATTAAGTTACGCAGAACGTAAAAATAAATCTGGAAATGAATTAAAAGTTTAATAAATGCAAATACTGAATACGTAGAATATTGTGCTGTTTTAGCATTTCTTTATTCTACCCATACCAATTCATGCCATGCGCATAAAGATGTAATAGAAATGATGCTCTCCCGCATAAAAATGTATGAGAAATGAAGTAACAGATTTGTTCCGTTATTAAATTGCTTTAAGCTGAAAGCTGAAATGCCGCTGGAATTCATCTCAAATCATACAATATTTTTGAAAAAAAAAAATATGACTGGTAACACTGAGCGTAAATAGTGTCATAAATTTTAAGTGATTTCTGTGGTATGTAAGATTGGGGAAGAAAGCCTTTAGCAATTAACGTTTTTCTCCAGGTATGTGACAAGTTGCTTCTTTGTCTAGGTGGAAAACGCTTTATTAAAAGCATGTAATAACTAGTGATAGGTTATGACAAATATTTTAATTAGAAAAACAATTGCAGGGAGAAAAGGCATCGCCGTATTTCTAACTTTTGTATAAATTTAAACAGTTTTATTCGTTCGTACATTTATTTTCAAACTTTTTGGAATTTTATTAAAAGGTAACCTTTGTGCAATCTGCCGATGCTGCGAGAATTTTACTTTTGAGATTAATATAAATGTTTCTTAAAATTAAATCTGGTTACCAATTATTTAGGAAGACGTTCTTTCTCCCACTTTATAATTTCAATTGAGTTTTTGTGTTTGGATTTTTTTCTCATTTATGTACTTGTTAAGTTATGGAGAAAAAGTGCTGTATGGAAAAAAGTGTTTTATTTTGAAATTTTAAAAAATTCCACCTGTAGAAAAAAATATAAATTTTATTTGTAAACTATGCAGCATCAGATCTTCGCTAAATGCCATCATTAAAGTGAACAAAAGATACATCTTAAATATACAAAAAAATTATACATTTGTAAACAATATGAGTAAAATATTTATTATCTAATTAATCTAGAATATTTATTATTTCTGTCGTTATATTTGATGAATGAAAAGTTTAGAATTTCTTTTTCTAATACGTTATCGTCTGCTTCAAAAACAAATCGAAATAGTGATGAAATTATATATTAATATGGGAACTGCAATTATCTATATACGAGAACTGCCGTTATTATAATTTTTATTTTTAAAAAAGCATTTTAAAAATAACGAATTGTTTTATTAAATGACAAAACTATTTTATTTAGAAAGAAAGCCGAAAAAGTATCTACATGATTCCTTATTGAATTGTATTTCAACATAGTCCATAGAATTCAACAACTCTCAAATATAACGATATTATTGAAGTCGTTTCTGCATAGTTCTGAGTGCACAGTAAACGTTTCTTATTACTAAATTAAGAAATTGATTCAAATTTCCTGGATGATATACTATTTCAAATTATACTGGCAGCTTGGAATGCGGAAGATCAGAAATATTTTCTTAATTTCTATTTTTGTAAACCACCTGCATCAAAATCAACTAGTAATAATAGATATAAAAATTTCCAAAAATAATATTTTCATAATGTCATTTAATCGAAAGCATTTAAGAATCTTATTCCCATTAACAGAAATTTTTTATTGTTAGCTCATATTTTCTGCAGTCTTCATCCTGAATAAAAGAATAACTAATCATAATAAAAATACTTGAAAATGTGAATAACTAGGAGAATCAATTATTTCTTTTCTAATCTTAAACTCGATTCTATCGGAAACTCAATGGGAGTGAATGCACATGTGGCCTAGAGTATTAAAACAATACTATTAATCGCTAATCGATTTGCAATGTTATCTTTCCCAAGTAACAATGAGACCTCCAAAGAAGGTTCGATTCGTAAGATCAGTAGCGGAATATGATATCGGAAAAGAAAGACAATATATTGATCTTATCTCTAGATATGATTGAGTTTCGAGAAATGGTAACTGTGGCTTAAACATTATGGTATCTTTTTGCCCTTTTATGAGGCCAGGTGAATACAGTTTTGTATGGGTTGCATGTAAGAAAAGACATTTAGCATTCACTAATGCAGTTGGCAAGACTTAAAGGATTATTTTTTTTTAATTGCAATGTTTTATATTGCAATATTATTACCGAAGCACGTATGGAGATTTCGGGAATCTAGAGATTAGTTCTTTGATTTGTAGTGCTTTAAGTTATGTCTTAAATCTTTAAGTGCGATCGTAAATCAGATGGAATTCTCATAATGTTTCCAAAAATTAGATCAGTTCTTTAACTCGCGAAATCTTGAGATATTATATTAATTAGTTATAATGTACAGAACAAGCGTTCCCAAAGTTTTCAGGCACTGGAAGGTTTAAAAATATTAAAAATATTTAAAAAATATAAATATTTTTTAAATATTTTTAATATTAATATTTTAATTAATAAATAATATATAATATAAATTATATTAATATAAATATTAATATAAATATTTTTAATTAAAATAGTTTTAAAATATTTTAATTAAAAATATTTAAAAACTATTTTTAATATTTTCAGGCATAAAATTCTTTGGATGAATTGAATTATAAACAAAATAAAAAATATTTTAAAGAAGATAATTTGTTGCGAAACGATTTATGTATCTCAACTTTGAGCTAACGTTTCATGTATGCCATGTGTGAGCTAGATTTAAAGCTGCAATTTTAAAGCCAAATTTATAGTCTGTTTCATACAAAATTATTTAAACAAGTAGAAAATAATGATAACAGTTGTTTGCTATTCACAAAGTGGGTGATGAAGGATTTTGTGAAATATTCTTCGACCTTGAATTTAAGTATGTTTTAAAATTCTGGACTGTATATATTTATTTAAAAAAAACCTTTAATAGCTTTGGTCCTTTAATATTGAACCCTGTATTACAATCTTCTCAAACAACTGAAGATAATGAAAAAATAGTAAGAAATCCCTAAGTATTTTTTATTTTTATAGGCTTCATCTTAACAATTTACGTAGCTAAAGACGCTAATTCTACTTTAATATCGAATTTTCAAGTATCATATTTAAATAAAAACTATCCAAAAGAAGGCTTTTGTATCTTTTAGCTGTTAAAACTCTTAGTTTCAGAGGATAAGATATACAGTAGCTGAACGCGAAGCTTAAAGGCAGCCTTCTGCTTCACTTTTCTTGATGAAAAAAAAACAGTCAACATTTTGGTGCAAAGCGTCTTGGATTAAGTTACCATCACAGCCCAGAACTTTATTTATTTATGTGATAACATAGTTGTAACTGAATTTTAAATTTATCTATTAACAGGTGTAGAGACATTAGGTATTTTTGGAAGCAGGTAAGATGAAAAATAAGCAACGCCTTCGCCGGGAATCGAACCCCGGACCTCTGGAATACGCGCCGAGCGTGCAGACCACCATGCCATTGTAATTCTTCTGGCGCTAAACTGAAGTATTTTTTAATATAAACATCTAGCAAATATTCTCAACAAAAGCAGTTAAGCATTTGTAACTTTCTGTTTTCATTCTAGTGCATAGAGAGTGTGCTGTGATGAAAAAAAAAATATCTCAAGGAAGGTAATGAATTATACAGTTAGAAAGCACGAAATGGCGCAAAAGTAATTAATACCTAGGAAACAACTAAGATTTATTCATAGTTTAAATTCTGCTGTTAGGTCGATAGCTTTAACATTTAAGTATTAAGATACCTTTTTTACGAAGCTTATTTTATCCACTGCATAATCTCAAATGAATAAACATAAATGATGCTATTAAACGAGTATGATAGCTAAAATATTTGCTGGTGAGTAATAACCTATAAAACTAAATTTAAAAAATGCTGGTAAACTTCTGTACCAAGGTAAAAACACTTGTATTTGGACTGAATAATAATTAGTATCTATACCGAGATAATTTTTGCAGCTCCCTGTATAAAAAGAATGATTATCTGATCCAACTCTTGCTCATGCTAAACTACTAGCGATTAAATTTAATTACTATTACCGAAATTATTGACAATTCTTAGACTCATCTCTCTTAAATTTGCTACTCCACCAGTGGTCGAGTTGTAAAGACAGTTCAATACTGCTAGTTCAATCTGCCATCGAGTCCAGGCCAACAGGTTTGTTGCATTGTTGATATTTGTGGCTTTCCCCATGTGTAACATGAATACGAACCAGTTTTGGTTAGAAAGTTGTTCGCGAAGGCATTCCTTCTCTTAAGCAGATAATCCTTGTGAACTTTTCTATATTCAAATAACCTAAATTTCTTTTTTTTTTTTTTTTTTTTTTCAACCAGAGCTGATGAAACGCCATTCTATTCTTTCAATAACTCAAAACAGAAATAATATAGTAATATAACTGTGTCCATCTTCTTTTACAATGTGTTAATTTCCATTTTCAAATAAGAATTCGGAAGACCTGAACAGCTCAAAATTCTTAACAAATAATTAAAATAAGGACTTGCAAGTGGGTAAATTGTATTTAAATAGCACACTTCACTTCATGTTGTCCATCTGCATTGCATTATCCGTTTTGCATATTTTCGTATACATATTATGAATCTTTTCTATTTCCATATGTAAATTATCCATTTGAGTACCTCCGTGTGAACATTTTCCGCTTTTTTTACACCCGATCGCATTTTGCATTAAGTTTCGCTTTCCGTGAAACATCACCTAAAAGAATTCCCTGAGTTATATTTGAAGAAACGGAGAGACTTATAAAATTATGAAAAAAAGCGTGCGAATTAAGCAGTGAATTTTATCAGTAAGAATTAAATTAAAAACTAAGAGCTAATTTATGGCTGCAATTTGGAAACGCTACTGATAAAGAGATAGCAGTCTGTAGAGCCAATGAAACTAATTTTGATACCCAAGAACTGAAAATATGATAGGAAAAGAACACAGTGTGAGTAAGAAAGATAAGAACTCTGAAGGCTGGAGAATTTTTGCCTTGATGCGGTGACTAAACAGAAGCCAGAAGAGCTTAAAAAAGAAAATGAAGTTGAATTAGCATAAGTATTCACAGTTGAGCAATAGTATATGCACAGCGATATGGATGAATAAAGTCAATTTAAATTTGCTAATACAACAGTTTCTAGGTGTGTTTTCAGAAGTGACTGCAGGGAGCTTCGGTGACCCCCTTTTAAGTTTGTCTCTAATTTAAGAGAAGCTTGCCCTTTTTGTTTGCTTATTTATTTCTTCCACGGAAAACATATTTTGAGTGTGATAATCATATATTGTTCTCTTGTTCTTTACGATTAGAGCCTCATTTAGTTAAGTTCAGTCAAATGTGTTATAAGTATATAATGTGTTATAGGTATATAATGTGTTATAGGATAAAATTTAAATATTGTAAGGAAAAGCCATCTGTTTTCAATAAATTTATTGTTGAGTATCAAATTGCTTAACATCAAAACGATCGACTGAAGTACTGTTACTTAATTTTCTGGAAACAGATTGAAGATACAAAAAAGATCATTTTTGACTATATAATATGTTTGAGATTTAATGATATTCTCGCTTTACTTAAATGAGAAACTTTTAAGAGGTCTTAACCAATGTGTAAAAACCATTTTGAAAAATCTTACCTTGGCCTTAGAACCTCTCAGATGAATTCACGGGAATGAAGAAAAAAATAATGTGGGTCATTTCTAGCAAAAAAATATGTCGCATAATTAGATTTACTCATTATTTCATGTTGTGATATTTTATAATGTATTTATTTATTTATTTTATTTTATTTTAAAGTTTTTTTTATTTTATTTTAAAACTTTTTTTCCACTTATAATTTTGTGGATTTTCTGTTCGCGTGAAAAAGTAAAGCATTTAATTAGAATTTGATGTTTAATGTTTATAAGATAAAATGTGAACCCTCTTCTAAAAATTCATAACTCACTCCTGCGTGTGTTATATATTACTTGAAAGAACATCAAAATGATTTCCAAAGTAAAGAAATTGACGTTTATATCTCTTTTGAATATTTTATTAAGGAAAACAGAATCTGAAAATCTATTTAAATTTTTAGTATTATTTTGATTAAATTAGGTTGTAAAATCTTGTATTTTTAGTAAGCATGAACTACAGAGTTTTAAAAAAAACTATTGAAGAATTATTTTAGTCTTAAGAAATAAAACAGAAGAAAGAAAAGTAGTCAGAAGAAAGGTGTATAACACCCTTTTATCTGAACACAAAGAAGTAACAATGACCCATTTTGGGTTTACATAAACCAACACTTCTGGCTAGACTTGAATAAATAATATAATAGAATTAGTCTAACAGGATAAAGTAATGCGCAGGAAAGGCTCTGGTTTGTAGAAAACCGGCGAGATAAGCCTTAAGGCTAGAAGCACTCAACGCCACAGAATCAAATCGTAAACGTAAGTCACGGTACAACATGGCCTCAAGTAAGCATAACACGTTTTAAAATTAAATTGCGAAATTCTTCGCTTAAATAGTACTTCTTTCTCCTTCAATCTAAATAAACTCTGGCTATCTCACTTACATTCTGGCGTGAAAAGCGTGGGTGAAAAGAGAGTGACAGAAAAGTGATTGAACTTAAAATTAACTATTAGTTAAAAATAAATAAATAAATCCTCACAAGGTTATTAGGAATATCGCATCCCCCATACGTTCTCTTGTGATGCAAGTGATGATCATGACCAGCTAGCATTGAATTCTGCGGAGGGCACTGTTGATTTTTCATGTTTACCGCTCCAAAACATATGATAAGCCTCAACAGTTGGGCCCATCTAACATTTAGTGGACGTTAACTCATCATTATCTTTATTTGCTCTGCTGGGTCTTGTGTCTTTAGAATATAAGAAATTATCCTATTCTTCCCGTACTTGGTCTCGCAATGTAAATGTTCAGCTTATCCAGCTAGCAACTGGAAGATCTCTAAATCGATTCTCGACTAGATCATTGCTGATATTTCACGATTCCTGTTTCGAAAGCCTAATAAGCTTCTACAAGGTCAATTAAAGCCACAGAAAATCCGAATGGTTAAGTTTTAAAGATACGCATGCATCAGTTACAATTTTACAGAGGCAGCTTTTGATTATCCGTGTTTTCTGATTATCAGTTCAATCACGATTATTAGTTAACATAGACAGGAGTCTAATATTTGATTTTTGTTCTGAGGTACTAATTGCAGTTTATAAATATATAAACATAAAATAAGAAAACATTATATAAATGTTAAATTCATGTGCACATGAAAAAATAGTGAACTACTGAAGATTATCTTTAACATTAAGGATTTCTTATTTAAATACGCAAGAACGTTGGCCGAAGTAACATCCAAATGATTGTTTGAAACCTTTCGTATAACAGACTTTGTTCTAGGTGAGATTGGAGGCACGTTTAGAATTCTTTTTTTAATGACAAGGGGAAAAACTAATCGCTTTGTAAACAATGGCAAGAAACCTGTTGTCAGCTTAAATAAGAGCTCACGTTTCAAGGTTCTTTCACAATGAATTCGTTTTATTGTGTCCTGAAAAATCACCATTGCAACATTGTAAGTTATTCGTAAATTGGCATTCTGACACATGAGTTTGCATTCTTGTTAGTTTATTGCTCATAAAATTTCCATATACTTAAACATCTATTTTATTACTTTTACTTTTGCATAGTCTCATTTTAACAACGTATCTGCACTTTTATAATTTGTTTTTTTGATTTGTTTACAAAATTTCATTTATAGGCGATCAAAATCCTTACTATAAGAATCCCATTATTGCTAGAAAAAGCTGTTACGAGCCTCGGCAGAAGATGCCTCCGGCGCTATTTGGTATAGCATCAGCAGAAAGGAAACAGATTATTTAAATAAAAGTTTGAATTCATTTAGAAACTCGTTAAGCCTAGCTTCTTGGAAACAGTCTATAGAGTCCGCCCTTTAGACCCATCATGAAAATGATAAATGATAATGACGTCCAGGCTTTGAGAAGGGAAAGTCAAAGTACCAGTTCACGAGTAATAAAATTTAGCTAAGCTGTTTATTAACTAAGCTATTCCACAACATGTAAAAAGAAAGAACCATTTGTCTCAGATCTTGTCTCACGAAGATATCTGTCCTTAGGGTAACAAACCCCACTCACAGTCCTGAAAAGAAATTATGCAGTCCTGATACTGAATTGCTACTGAATTACGTAGTCCTGATACTGAATTACGTAGCATGCGTCTTGTATGCTATGTAATTCATTATCTTGCTTATATGTATGTAATTTTATTCTCAGTGCTGAACTCCTTATCAGATTTTATTTTCACCGATGAAAAATTACGGCTTTCAAAAATTTTGCTAAACCTGTGAAAATAGATGGTAGGGTTTTGTAGATCTGCGGATACTAAGTCCTTTCATGGGGCTCATGTAGTTTTATAAAATTTTTCTATGGTCCAAAATAGATAAATTTACCATTAAAGATAGAAAGAAAGAAGCAAGCCGAAGCTTGGCAATGTGGCCCTGTCGTTTTTTAAATTACTTGTGCAAATATGGGCAAGTCAGCGTAAAAAAATGCTCGGATTGCAAAGAGTTAAACAAGCAAAGCTTTCTCGAAATTATTTATGTTAGAAACATCTTTATTGGGTTTTGTTTTACAATATCTGGACTTTTACAGTACCATCCAAACGATTTGCAAATAATGTCATTGCGAAGTATTAATATCATTAAATATTCATCCACGGGACCTTGCAAATAGTTAGTTTCCAGACTTCTGCAATTCAGCATGACTTAAGATCTTTCAGTTGACCTTTCCAGTTATAGTTATTTAATAAAATAAACGATTTTTAAAAGCAGTAAATGCACTTCTTAGTAAATAAGTCTTTATTTTATTTTCGAGAGTATACTTATATCTTGTAATTCAAAAATGTGCTTTTAATGTGTAATATATTCAGCTGATAATTCTGGGGAATATTTTCTGCTATTGGTATTTCAAAGATATTTTGTTTTCTGCGCAAGACAGTTTTAGTATTGTCTGCCTGTACGTAACTGGTGAAATATCTCCTCACAGTGACCCAGCAGCAGTCCGTTTAGTTTATTTGCAAAGTGATTAAGTTAAACCGAAACAAACATACAAGAATAAGGGGAAACTAGGGCGCCATTTATTTTTTTTATCATGGCATCTAGATAGCGTACGAAAAACCAGAATTCGATTCCGGATGTTAGAAATTTTGCAATTGAGTTGAAAAGCTTTCATCGTTTCTTCTTAACGTAACTTAGAAGTAACTGCAAAAGTATTTCGTTTGTCTTTTCAAAAATATTTGTTCTCTCTTTCAGCATCAGCTTTATTTCCTACCACAAATACTTGCCGAAAAAATACTGAAGGTAGCTGCATATTTATTCAGAAAGCCCGCGATGTAGTATTGCCACGCAAGCCTTCAAGCCAAATTTTATAAATTCGCCTTCTTCCCCCCCTTCCCCCCACTGTTGTGAAATTGAGATTTCATTTAATGTTTCGAAGTTTTCTTTGTCTTTCCTCATATCAAAATACTTTCAGGAAAATTATAGACACTTTTTTTATTATTTTCCTTCGAATAATCATTTCTTGTTCTGTTATAATTGAAAACATTTTTACCTCTACACAGCATTACAAGTACAACAACATTGTATTTTTTCGTTCTCCAGAAACTGTCTTTTATCAATAATAGCAGGAAAAATCAAAAATCGGAATCTAATTTATTTTTAATCTCTTAATATTTGTATATGATCCATAGTCATAAAAACCGACAGTGATATACAGTCTTCATGACTTTAGCTTTTAACTCTCTAATAACTAAAATCTGATATTCTCTTTTGTATATCTATTAAAGCTAAATAATATACAAAATACACTTGATTCTTATGGTACTATTGTGAGAAATTAGATGGAATATTCCAGTCAAAGTAATAAATGAAAAAATGTCTTCAGAAAAGACAGAAAACTTTAAATTCGACAAAGCGAATTTGCACTATAAATGCCATTCATTTCAATGTGTAGTACATTGTTTCAATGTATCTGAAATTTTTCAGATGATAATAGCACGAAAAAGACACGTAAATTCTTTTGGTTTCTTCTTTACTTTTTATTAATATCATTTAGCTTTAAATCAATATTTTTATCTGAAA